TGTTTCTAATTAAACAGAAACCCTAAACTGTTAACAGCAGTCATACTTTATTAATATAATAATTACTAAAACATATCTTAGTATTATTTACTTCATAACTATTGTGTCCAATGGGAAAGGGAGATCATCGCCACCTGTTCTATAAATGTCAGCTGTTTTCATAAAAGAAATGACTTCTGAAAAGAATTGGCCAGGTTGATGTTTTCTATATCAAAAGAATCAAATGAATCAATTCTGGAAAGTCTTCCTTTTCTCTTTGGAATTTATCTTCATTCATAGAAACTGTATTCATAGGTTTTAAATTCTTTCTTCTTAAGCTGTGTTTATCATATAGTACTATTACTTGGAATGATTGAACCACTAAACTAAATACCTGATACTGGTGTTTATCCATGTAAAAGATAGGACCAGGGTAAGGTAATTAGACATTTTTCCATTGCCCCTCACATTGCAGGAACAATAAACTTCTTATTGGAAGCATAACTAATGCTCAGAAAAGTATGCAAATCATAATGTAAAGCCTAATGAGTTATCACAAAATGAACACAGCTTGTAAACATCATGCAGGTCAAGAAAGAAAACATTGGCGGGGTGTGGTGGCTCACACCCGTAATCCTATCACTTTGGGAGTCCAAGGCAGGCAGATCACAAGGTTAGGAATTCAAGACCAGCCCTGGCCAACATAGTGAAACCCCATCTCTACTAAAATTAAAAAAAAAAAAAATTAGCCAGGTGTGGCATTGTGCACCTGTAATCCCAGCTACTCAGGAGGCTGAGGCAGGAGAATTGTATGAACCTGGGAGGCAGAGGTTTCAGTGAGCTGACATCGCACTATTGCACTCCAGCCCAGGCAACAGAGCAAGACTTTGTCTCAAAAAAAAAGGAGGAAAAAAAACATTACCAGCACCTTAAAGGATCAATCCCATGGCCATCTCAGTCACCACCTTCACTCTCCTTTATAAAGGAAACCATTTGATTTAACATAGATTACTTTTGCCTGTTCTACAACTTCATATAAATGGAATCATATGGTATATATTCTTTTGCATCTGGCTTCATTTATTTAACATTGTATTGTAAGATTCATTTGTATGTATATATTCTTTGGAGAAATGTATTTTCAAATCCCTTGCCCGTTTTTTAATTGGGTTATTTATTTGTTTGTTTATATTTTAGAGGCAAGGTCTCCCTCTGTCACCCAGGCTGGAGTGCAGTGGTCAGTTCATAGTTCACTGTAGCCTTAAACTCCTGGACTTAGGCAATCCTCCCACCTCAGCCTCCTAAGTAGCAGGGACTACAGATGTGAGCCACCATTCCTGGCTAATTTTTAATTTTTTTTTTTTTTTTTTTTTTTTTTTTTGTAGAGATGGGGTTTTAAACCCCTGGACTCACGCAGTCCTCCCTCCTTGGCCTCCCAGAGTGCTAGGATTACAGTTATGAGTCACCACACCTGGCCCTTATTATTGAGTGAAAGTTCTTTATATATTCTGGATGGGGTCCCTTTAGGGATTTATAGTTTCAAATATTTACTCTCATTTGTGCGTTTTTGCTTTCTTGATATGTCCTTCAAAGCACTAAAGTTTTGATTTTGATGGAATCTAGGTTATCTATTTCTTATTTTTCTTGCTTGTACTTTTGGTATCATATCTTTAAAAACATGGTCTAGTTGCCAGGCGCAGTGGCTCACGCCTGTAATCCTAGCACTTTGGGAGGCTGAGGTGGCTGGATCATGAGGTCGGGAGTTCGAGACAGCCTGGCCAGCATGGTGAAATCTTGTCTCTACTAAAAGTACAAAAATTAGCTGGGCATGGTAGTGTGCACCTGTAGTCCCAGCTACTTGGGAGGCTGAGGCAGGAGAATCACTTGAACCCAGGAGGCAGAGGTTGCAGTGAGTTGAGATCTCGCTACCGCACTCCAGCCTAAGTGACAGAGCAGGATTCCGTCTCAAAAAAAAAAGTTTTATCATTTTGACATTTCTGTTTAGGTCTTTGATACGTTTTGTGTTGCTTTTTGTATTCGATTTCATTCTTTTGTATGTGGAAATCAGTCGTTCCAGTACCATCTGTTGAAAAGGCTGTTTCCTCTCCAAGTGGTCCCCCAGGTCTTGGCACCCTATTGAAAATCAGTTGACCATAAATATAAGGGTTAATGTTCTGTTTATCTGTATGTCTGTCCTAGTGCCCATATCACACAGTAGTTTTGCAGAAAGCACGAGTTATCTGTCTTTGTTTTTCCTTTTCTTTTTTTTAATTAAATTCAAATATATATATATTTGAGTCTTTTTACATTCTACATGTTTTTGTAAGCATCCCCCAATTCTTTTTTTGTAGCAAAGTGGACTATAGATGAAGCATTTCTGACCTTTTGTCAATCATGTCAAGTGTGAGGGGAAGTCTTTTGTAAGTCAGCCAAGTATTTCAAAAAAGCTTTTCCAAAAGTAAAGGTGGAAGACCCCGCTTTGAAAATGCTGGTCGGCACAGGAAGGCTGGCAGAGGTGTGTAGGTTAGTCCACCGGTTACAGGTTTAGTAAGGCAAGTCCAACCTGTGGCAACCTAGCTGGCCAGGAGCGCCCCAAGGCAGAGGAGGATGCAGGGGCTCGGGCACACGGCCGCTTGCAGCCATCTCACCCCAGATCCCGGCTCAGGAAATGCAGGCTCAGGCTGAACTGGATGTGTGCGCCCCAAGCCCCCGCCATCCCAGAGACTGAGGGCTCCTTCCAGGTTCTCAGAATGGCAGAGTGGCCCCACTTCTTCAGCCCCTGGAAGAATGCTTGGCTGAGCCAGGTGTCCAGGGAGCTAAACATGACTGCAGGCATGGGTCTCTGCTTCCTAGTGCCTTGGCCTGGGAGTGAAGGCACACCCTGCCCCCTGTGCACCGTTGTTCCTTTTCAAGATTGTTTTAGCTGTTGCTCTTTTTCATTTCTATGTGAATTTTAGGATTACCCTGTCAAATTCCACAAAAAGACAGCTGGGATTTTAATAGCTATTACATTGAATATGTAGATAAGTTTGGGAAATGTTGCTATCTTAAAAATATCAAGTCTTCCAATCCATGAACGTGAAATGTCTTTCAATTTTTTAGGTCTTTTTCGTTTATTTCACTGACATTTCGTGTAACATTTAGTGTACAAGTCTTGTACTTCTCTTGTTAGTGTACAAGTCTTGTACTTCTCTTGTTAGCGTACAAGTCTTGTACTTCCCTTGTTAAATGTATTTTCTACTTATTTATTTATTTATTTAGAAACAGAGTCTTGATCTCTAGCTCAGGCTAGAGTGCTGTGGCATGATCTCGGCTCACTTCAGCCTTCACTTCCCCGGTTCAAGCAGTTATCTGCCTCAGCCTCCTGAGTAGCTGGAATTACAGGCACCTGCCACCACACGCAGCTAAATTTTTTTGTATTTTTAGTAGAGACGGGGTTTTACCATCTTGGCCAGAATGGTCTTGAACTCCTGACCTCGTGATCCACCCACCTCAGCCTCCCAAAGTGCTGGTATTATAGGTGTGAGCCACCATGCTCAGCCAATTTAAATTTTTTAATGTTATTGTAAATGAAATTGTTTTCTTAATTTCATTTTCAGTTTTGTTGTGTTTACTAGAAATGAAGTATCACTATGTTGCCCAGGCTGGTCTGAAACTCATGAACTCAAGCAGTCCTCCTTCCTCAGCCTTCCACAGTGCTGGGATTACAGGCATGAGCTACCACGCCCTGCCCATTTTTAGTTTTTTATTAATATAGCGGATAGAAATATAATTGATTTTTATATTGACTTGTATCCTGCAAGCCTGCTGAACTAAATTTATTAGCTCTAATAGGTTTTGTTGTGTGTGTGGATTCCTTAGGCTTTTCTATATATAAGATTGTGTCTTCTACAGATATAGTCTTAGTTCTTCCTTTCCAGCTTGGAAGCCTTTTTTTAATTTTCTTGCTTAATTGCCCTTGCTCAAACCTCCAGTACCATGTTGAATAGAAATGATGGAACTGGACATCATTGTTTGGTTTGGTTGTTCAGGAGAAAGTGTTCAGTCTTTCACCATTAAATATAATACTAGCTGTGGGGTTTTCATCAAGTTAAGGAATTTTTTTTTTTTTTAGACAAATTTTCACTCTGTCACCCAGGCTAGAGAGCAGTGCCACAATCTTGGCTCACCGCAACCTCTGCCTACTGAGTTCAAGTGATTCTCCTGCCTCAGCCTCCCAAGTAGCTGGGGTTATAGGCAAGCACCACCACACCTTGCTAATTTTTGTATTTTTTGTAGAGATGAGGTTTCACCATTTTGGCCAGGCTGGTCTCGAATTCCTGACCTCGGATGATCCGACCCCACCTTGGTCTCCCAAAGTGCTGGGATTACAGGTGTGAGCCACTGTGCCCAGCCTTATTTTTCTTTTTAGATAGGGTCTCACTTGGTCACCCAGGCTGGAGTGCAGTGGTGCAATCTCAGCTCACTACAGCCCTGACCTCCCCGCTGGGCTAATGCGATTCTCCCATTTCACCTTCCTGAGTACCTAGGGCTACAGGTGAGGGCCACCATGCTTGGCTAATTTTTGTATTTTTTATAAAAATGGTGTTTTGCCCTGTTGCCCAGGCTGGTTTCAAATTCCTGAGCTCAGGCAATCCACCTACCTCAGCCTCCCAAAGTGCTGGGATTCCAGGCATGTGCCACCATGCCTGGCTGAGGAAGTTTCTTTCTGTTCTTAGTAGCTTTTTTTTTTTTTTTTTCATAAAGTTATGTTGGATTTTGTCAAATGCAATTTCTGCACCTTTTGAAATGATTGTTTTAGTTCTTTATCTAATTGTGTATTATGTTGATTAATTTTGTATGTTGAACCAACCTTGCATTCTTGGAATAAATCCCACTTGGTCAAAGTATAATCTTTTTGTGTATGTTAAGTGATATTGGTCTGTAGTTTCTTATATTATCTTTGTCTGGCTTTGGTGTCAGGGCAATACAGGGATATGTTTTAATATGTAATAAATTTAAACCTTTCTTGTCCCCAACAGAAAATGATCCACAGTCTATTTCTCATCAACTGTTCCGGTGACATATTTCTAGAGAAGCACTGGAAGAGCGTTGTGAGCCAGTCTGTCTGTGATTATTTCTTTGAAGCTCAGGAGAAAGCTGCTGATGTTGAAAATGTACCACCTGTCATTTCAACACCTCACCACTACCTCATCAGTATCTACCGGGATAAGCTCTTCTTTGTATCTGTCATACAGACTGAAGTGCCACCTCTGTTTGTAATTGAGTTCCTACATCGAGTTGCTGACACTTTCCAGGTTGGTTATCTATCACACCTTTCTAACTTAAATTACCCAAGTTAGTTGGAGGTGAGACATGATTATATTATTTAATTACCCAGGTTTTGGTGTTTACTGTCTCTCTGTAACTAAGCATAAATTTATAAACCCATTTCTATGTGGTAGACAATGGCACACATGGCTGCTCTATTAATGATTTTTTTATGTATTTCAAATTACAGTTGACTCTCCATATATGTGGGTTCTGCATCCATGAATTCACCCAACTTTACATGGAAAATATTTAAACAAAAAAAATGGAACTGAACATGTACAGACTTTTCCTCATTATTACTTAAACAATACAGTATAACAACTAGTTACATAGCATTTACATTGTATTAGATATTACAAGTAATCTAGAGGTGATTTAAAGCATATAGGAGGATGTGTATAAGTTGTGTATAAATAGTATGCCATTTTATGTCAGGGACTTGAGAATTGTGAGTTTTGGTATCCACAGGGGATCCTAGAACTAATTCCCCACACATACCAAGGAATGACTGTATATGATCAGGAAACAATAAAGCCCTCCACATAGAGTTTTCTGAATGGTCTCAAGATTTTCATTGGTAATGAATTCTTCTATATTTACATTTTATTATTTTCTCTTGTCTTGCTGAATATACCAAATAATTTAAGCATTTCCATATGTATTTTGGGATAATCAAGATGAAGTTTATAGCTCACATTCCAGTTTAATGTTTCAATATTTTCTGGTATAAAATGAATTGAATTAAATTCAATCTAAAAATACTAAGAAAATATTGAGGAATAATGTTAGGACTATAGAGAGATTTTTTTTGGTTTGCTTGTTTTGTTTTGTTTTTGAGACAGAGTCTCACTCTGTCATCCAGGCTAGATCTCTCTGCCCAGTGGAGATGATCTTAGCAGCTCATTGCAACCTCCACCTCTTGGGTTCAAGCAATCCTTCCACCTCAGCCTCCTGAGTAACTGGGATTACAGGCATGTGTCACTATGCTCAGTAGATTTTTGTATTTTTAGTAGAGACGGGGTTTCGTGGTGTTGGCCAGGCTGGTCTCAAACTTCTGACCTCAAGTAATCTACCTGCCTCAGCCTCCCAAAGTGCTGAAATTGCAGGCATGAGCCACAGTGCCTGACCTATAGAGGGTTTCCCCCACTCTGTTTTACATATGTTCAGCATCTTAAGCGATGAATTTTGCTACTGTAAGTTTATTCTTCAGAACAAAAAGTATTTAGAAAGCCTTTCTTTGTGCCTTCCCTTGTGTGATATTTTGTGTGTATTTTGTAAGGACTACTTTGGTGAGTGTTCAGAGGCTGCAATTAAGGATAATGTGGTCATAGTATATGAACTCTTGGAAGAAATGTTAGACAATGGATTTCCACTGGCTACCGAATCCAACATTTTGAAAGAATTGATTAAACCACCAACAATTTTACGCTCGGTGGTCAACTCTATTACAGGTAAGATGAAAACATACTTGACTAGTAACTGAGCTATTAAAACTTTGTAAACAACTCATTGTTGCTCATGATCTGACATATTATTAAAGTAGTCCAGTTCGGCCAGAATTAAAGTTACTGGTAAAGTTAAAATGGATGTACTATATATTTATATTCATGGAAAGAGGCTTAAGTGATAAAAGAACTTTTGGTTATTACTCTTTTTTGTTTTGTTTTGTTTTTTCTTAAAAAACCACAACAATATTATTAGTATCATTTAACACTAAATACTAAGACTGAATAAATTATTCCACTTAGTCTTAAAGAAGCCAGTATATGAGCCCACTTAGAAGAGCATTTAGTCCATTTATAGACTGGCATTTCAGTATTTAAAATAGCATTACATAACTGTTATGCTGCTACTCCACAATTACTAGAGAACAGAAGATTTAAGATTCTTACCTACACAGTATGTGTGTACAGTGTCCTTCAAGTCTTTGTTTTTATGCATGCAGAAGATGTATTAAGAAAAAATAGGAAAATAGTTTACTTATGAGATATCATGCATTGTGGGCCTGTACTTGTGTTGTAAGCTTCCAGTTGCATTTAATTCTTAAGGGTAGCTAGAAGTTAGGCACATCCAGATGCCAATATTCTTTCGAAAGCATTAAAGTCTTTTAGAGAAAGATTCCTATGAAATGTTATATGCCACTCCAACTCCACTGCCCACCATTGAAAACCCGTCTCCAGTGCCTTGACCTAAAACTGATGTGAGAGAGGCCTATAAGAAAAAGATCATTCAGCAGCTCTTTAATCATCCTCTGTATAAGGGGGAGTGTTAGGACAAACTGAAAGAAAGGTAAGGTAGAGTGTCTGTGCTCCTTAAACTTATACTCTAAATGGGATTTGGAAAAAAATTAAAATTAGCAAATAACTATAAAATTTTAAAAAGCAATTACATACTTCACAGATAATATAGTAACATTGGAAAATACACATGATATAATGTTAAATTGAAGTCAGCACAAACTGAAAAAAATTATTTTTAGTTATATTCACTAAAAACATTCCAAATATTTATTTTATTTATTTATTTTTTTTGAGACGGAGTTTTCACTCTTGTTACCCAGGCTGGAGTGCAATGGCGCAATCTCAGCTCACCACAACCTCCACCTCCTGGGTTCAGGCAATGCTTCTGCCTCAGCCTCCTGAGTAGCTGGGATTACAGGCACGTGCCACCATGCCCAGCTAATTTTTTGTATTTTTAGTAGAGACGGGGTTTCACCATGTTGACCAGGATGGTCTCCATCTCTTGACCTCGGGATCCACCCGCCTCAGCCTCCCAAAGTGCTGGGATTACAAATGATTATGCCAGCCAAAAAAATACAGATTATCTTTATTTTTGCTTTATGATTTAATTTTCCAAAATAAACATGTATAGTCAGAGGAAAGTTACTAAAATATAGAATGCAAAACTTAACATAGATTCATAAGGCAGTATATTATGAAGTTCAAGAGAATGGTTCAGTTAATGAAGTAATCCCTCCTGAACTGTGGTGGGTAGCCACCTTAGAGAATCAGTAGAATTGAGGAAGTGGAGTAGGAATAAGAGCATTCTCCATAGACGTAACTGTATTTGAAAAAACACACATGAAGTGAAAAACCTCAAGTTTTATTAATCTCTTTAGCAGAAGCAGAGCTGTTTTTCAGTTGAGAAGTTAGAGATCAAACTAAAAGTTGAGAAACTCCTTCAATGCTAGGCTAAATATTTAGCTTTTATCATAAAGCCAATGAGCAAACATTGAAGGTTTTTGAGCAGGAAGACAACATCATTATAGGTTGCAGGTAGGAACACCAATCATAACTAGACTGCAAAATTGTAGATAAAGTATGATTGTGACTATATTTTAAAGTGCAATTAAAAACTAAAATTATCAAAATAGAAAAAAAATGCAACCTTCTGGTGGTGGAAATGTTTAAAGAAATATACCAAAATGTTAATGTTATATTGAAATATTAATACCATAATATTAACCAAAATGGGGCCAGGCGCGGTGGCTCAAGCCTGTAATCCTAGCACTTTGGGAGGCCGAGGCGGGTGGATCACGAGGTCAAGAGATCGAGACCATCCTGGTCAACATGGTGAAACCCCATCTCTACTAAAAATACAAAAAATTAGCTGGGCATGGTGGCGCGTGCCTGTAATCCCAGCTACTCAGGAGGCTGAGGCAGGAGAATTGCCTGAACCCAGGAGGCGGAGGTTGCGGTGAGCCGAGATTGCGCCATTGCACTCCAGCCTGGGTAACAAGAGCAAAACTCCGTCTCGGGAAAAAAAAAAATATATTAACCAAAATGTTAATGGTAGTTGTATTTTGTTAGTAAGAAGACAGATGTTTTTCTTTAAACCATCTTTCTGAATTCCACCTTTTTGTTTTGTTAAGTATGTGGTACTTTTGAACTGGCAATATAAATTAACCAAAATGTTAAGTAAGTCACAGCTCAAAGATACATGTTTTGGACAACCAGACTTATTTTTAGACATGTGTCAGTTTACCAGGAAATTAGCCAGACACTGAACACTAGCTATATTGCAGCCATATGGGTATGCTGACCTTAAAATGGGAAAAGGCCAGATTCCATTTACTCCACTGAGGCCTGCTTGGCAGCATCTCGTGTAAAATAAAGTTGAATACTGAAGGGCCTAGTTATAACTCTGTATTCTCAGTGGAGACATTTTACTGGCAGAAGGTTTTGAAACAACCAGCCTCTTTTTTCATCAGTGGCAGAGATTCTGCTGTTGAGCCACTGAAATTAGATTAGGTTACTGTTAACACAGGAGGCAAAAGATAAGTAAATAAATTTAACCTGATTTGGCAGGTAGACAGAGGGCTACATGGCCTATTTTTCTCTTCTAGAAATTTGATCATGTTGGTATGGGTATATCTGACAATTCTAGAGACCATCCACAACTTTATTAAGAAAAATCCAAACACTGAAGAAGCAGCTTTTTCTTCCCCAGTAATGAATTTTCTGATGACTGTTTCACACATCAGCTTTGCTTTCTCCTTTTTTGGTTTCTAGGCAGTAGTAATGTTGGGGACACACTCCCCACTGGGCAGCTGTCCAACATTCCATGGCGCCGGGCAGGGGTAAAGTACACAAACAATGAAGCCTATTTTGATGTCGTTGAAGAAATAGATGCAATTATAGATAAATCAGGTAACTGTGTGCATGTGGTCTTATTTGGGGAAAAATAATTCAGTTGACACAGATGAATAGAAAATTAAAGTCCTGGCTGGCACAGTGGCTTACCCTGTAATCCTAGCACTTTGGGAGGCCGAAGCAGGCAAAACACGAGGTCAAGAATTTGAGACCAACCAGGCCAACATGGCGAACCCCTGTCTCTACTAAAGATACAAAAATAGCTGTGTGTGGTGGCATGTGCCTGTAATCCCAGCTATTCAGGAAGCTGAACCTAGGAGGCAGAGGTTGCAGTGAGCCGAGATCACACTGTTGCATTCCACCCTGACTCTATCTCAAAAAAAAACCAAAAAATCTAGTCCTTCCCTTACATTTATTTTGTACATAAGGAAACTAACGAAGCCAAGGCTCAGAAGGGTTAAGTGAACTGTTGCAGGTCACAACTTGTTAATATGTAATGATGACTTATTCTGAATTATAGTCAATATCTTCTCTTCCAGGAGTGCCCTTTTCATTATAACATTCCATCTTTATAGAATAATAGATTTTTGCCAGGCACAGTGGCTCACACCTATAATCCCAGCACTTTGGAAGGCTGAGGCAGGAAGATCACTTGAGATTAGGAGTTCAAGACCAGCGTAGACAACATAGTGAGACCGCATAGCTACCAACAAATTAAAAAATAAGCTGGGCATGGATTCCTCTAATACTTCCTATTCAGGAGGCAGGAGGATTGCTTGAGCCCAGGAGTTCAAGGCTGTAGTGAGCTATGTTCATACCACTGTACTCTAGCCTAGATGACGGAGGCCCTGCTTCTAAAAAAAAAAAAAAAAGGGAGATCTATTTCTTAAAAGTTAACTGAGTTCATTTCATAATACAATTGCCTTAATTTTCTTTTCTTTTTTTTTTTTCTGAGACAGAGTCTCGCTCTCGCTTTGTCACCCAAGCTGTAGTGCAGTGGTGCAATCTCAGCTCACTGCAACCTCCACCTGCTGGGTTCAAGCTATTCTCCTGCCTAAGCCTCCCAAGTAGCTGGGACTACAGGCACATGCCACCACACCTGGCTAATTTTTTGTATTTTTAGTAGAGACAGGGTTTCACCATGTTGCCCAGGCTGGTCCGAAACTCCTGAGCTCAGGCAGTCCACCCACTTTGGCTTCCCTAAGTGCTAGGATTACAGGCATGAGCCACTGTGCCTGACCAAATGTGTTTTAAACTGAAATCCCGTCATCTTACAGGGTTGGCTCCATAAAGGAGACAGTTGAATTTTCCTTAGAATTAGCATATTCTGGCTGGGCACGAAAGGCCATGCTGGTAATCCCAGCACTTTGGGATGCTGAAGTAGATGGTTTGCTTGAGCCCAGGAGTTTGAGACCAGCCTGAGCAACATAGCAAGACCCCATCTCTATTAAAAAAATACAAAAATAAGCTGGGGCATGGAGGTGTGTACTTGTAGTTCCAGCTGCTTGGGAGGCTGAGGTGGGAGGATTGCTTGAACCCAGGAGGTTGAGGCTGCAGTGAGCCATGATAGCAGTACTGCACTCCAGCCCTGGGTGACAGAGCAAGACCCTGCCTCAAAAAAAAATTTAGATTCTACGCTGGCACACCTGTAGTCCCAGTTATTCTGGGGGCCAGCTGGGACTAGCTAGTGAGATCTCAACTCTTAAAAAAGAAAAATGAATGAATGAATTACCGTATTCCAACCAGAGTTAGGTATGGACCTTGTTCCCTGACCTGTTTTAATAGAGATAGATATAAAGCTTCAGTATGTCTGATACTCAGGGGGTATCTCCATTATTCTAGATACAGTGTTTGTGTGGGCTAGGTGTGGTGGCACACCTATATTCCCAGCTGTTCGGGAGGCTAGCACAGGAGGATTACTTGAGCCCAGGAGTTTGAGGCTGCAGTGAGCTATGATCATGCAACTGCACTCCCACCTTGGCAACAGAGCAAGACTCTGTCTCTAAAAACAATAAATAAATAAAAATAAAAAGATACAGTGAAAGCTCTAGTTAAGACTGAGATTCTATTGATGTTGTCTCCCTTTTTTTTTCTTCAGGATCTACAGTCTTTGCAGAAATTCAGGGGGTCATTGATGCTTGCATTAAACTATCTGGAATGCCTGATCTCTCCCTTTCTTTCATGGTAAGTTTTATTCTCCTGTTTTATAGCCCCTTGCATGCCTAATACATGTGAAGTACTAAATGAAATGATAAAATTGAGATAAGTTTGCATCTTAGATTGCAAAGGATTATCTGAAAAATATTTCTAGCAGAGTTTCCTAAGACAATCGCGTACACGATGAGCCTGGTCTTTATGGAAAGGCTAAGGGAAGTCTTTGCCTGAGTGTGCTAGGAAGCGCTTAAAATTGGCTGGCTTCTGCAAAACACCAACATCATTTTTACTGAATAATTACTTGCTTTGCTGATATGAAAGGGCATTGGTCTTTTGTATCATTGTAGAGTCCGCATAACATACTGCTAGGAACAATTAAGAGAACTGACTTCTGGTATTGTCACCAGTTTGTCCTGACCTTAAGTCCTCTGAACCTCGGTTTTGTTTGTTTGTTTGTTTTTTATAGAGACAGGGTTTCTCCATGTAGGTCAGGCTGGTCTTGAACTCCTGACCTCGGGTGATCCGCCCGCCTCAGCCTCCCAAAGTGCTGGGATTACAGGCGTGAGCCACCGTGCCCGGCTGGACCTCAGTTTTTTTTAATCTGTTAAAGGGAAATAATACTACTTGCCTTTTCTTCTTTATGGCTATTGAAATTCAAATAAATTAATTTACATAAAATATTTATAAACTTTAAAGCATTGTGACACTGTAAAGTTATGTTGATGTGGTCATAAACTCTTCCATGACTGCTTTATTTTCAGGAAATATATTAATTTGTCAAGATATCTGAGTAGAGTTAACATATTTATTATACTATATGAACACGACTGTCTTCTGTTTTGCTGGCAGAACCCTAGGCTTCTGGATGATGTCAGCTTCCACCCCTGCATCCGGTTCAAGCGTTGGGAATCTGAAAGAGTTTTGTCATTTATTCCTCCAGATGGAAATTTCAGACTCATATCATACCGTGTCAGCTCACAAAAGTATGTTCAGATGCATCAGCCGGAATCTGCCATCATACATATCAAGCAGAACTCACCTGTCCCTGTTTCTTTCTGACAGTTGAATCCTTGAGGTCATCGCTGCTCACTTTAACCATGGCTCACCAGGAAACCCAGTGAGAACTGGCAAAAATACACACCTAAAATAATCAGTATACTTTGAATGTATGAGTTTAGAGTGGTACTAAGTGAGACTAGAGTAAAACCTATAGCTAAGAGCAAGCAGACTGTATATAACCTGGGGAAAAGGTTATGGTACCAGTTCTTTGCAAGGTTATGGGCGGTCAAATTATGGCACTGGTTCTTTGCTCAGGTTATGCGTGGTCCATTTTGCTCCCTGTTTGTGACAGCTGAGTACTTTGCAAGTAAAGCAAAATGGACCATGCATAACCTGGGCAAAACCATGAACCATTGCCGTAATCTTACCGTGGTCTGTAGACTTTGTAGCTAACAGAAGGAGACAGACCTACCTGTAGCTCATAAGGACATTCCCCAACTTACTGCCTCAAGTCACTCTTCTCTGCATTGAGTTTTAAAGGAACTGTTTAGCATTGGGGGCTGGGAGCTGTGGTTTACTCCTGTAATCCCAACACTTTGGAAGGCCAAGGTGGGCAGATCACTTGAGGTCAGGAGTTCTAGACCAGTCTGGTCAACATGGTGAAACCCCGTCTCTACTAAAAATATAAAATTAGTAAGGAGTGGTAGCATATGCCTACAATCTCAACAACTTGGGAGGCTGAGACATGAGAATCACTTGAACCTGGGAGGCAGAGGTTGCAGTGACATATCATGCCACTGCATTCCAGCCTGACCAACAGGGTGAAACTCCATCTCAAAAAGAAAAACCACTTAGCATTGAGGGTCATAGTTATAGCTAGTTTGTTTCTTGAAAATACCAGAAATTATTTGATTTACATCATGACAAGATTCAAAAGCAGAGAAATCATTTCTTGGCTCTTATGACATAGGAACTGTTTCAATTATATAAAACATATTTTAGGCCAGGCACAGTGAATGGCTCACACCTGTAATCCCATCACTTTCGGAGGCCGAGGTGGGCAGATCACCTGGGGTCAGGAGTTTGAAATCAGCCTGGCCAACATGGTGAAACCCCATCTCTACTAAAAATACAAAAATTAGCTGGGCGTGGTGGCAGGTGCCTGTAATCCCCACTACTCTGGAGGCTGACTCAGGAGAATTGCTTCAACCCAGAAGGCAGAGCTTGCAGTGAGCCAAGATCACGCCATTGTACTCCAGCCTGGGTGACAGGGTGAGACTTTGTCTCAAAAAAAAATACACACACACACATATATATGTATTTTACACTATTTTTCCATTGAATTGTAATTCATTTTTTAAACTAGGACCATTTGCCCCAATTGTTTCTTGTTTTGGGGGGCTTTTTTTGAGATGCAGTTTCACTATTGTCGCTCAGGCTGGAATGCAGTGGCTCAGTCAGCTCACAGCACCCTCCACCTCCTGGGTTCAAGCAGTTCTCCTGCCTCAGCCTCCCAAGTATCTGCGATTACAGGCACTCACAACCACTCCCGGCTAATTTTTTTTTTTTTTTTTGAGATGGAGTTTTGCTCTTGTTGCTGAGGCTGGAGTGCAATGGCTTGATCACAGCTCACTGCAACCTCCACCTCCTAGGTTCAAGTGATTCTCCTGCCTCAGCCTCCCAATTAGCTGGAACTATAGGCACGTGCCACCCTGCCCAGCTAATTTTTGTATTTTTAGTAGAGACGGGGTTTCACCATGTTAGCCAGGCTGGTCTCAAACTCCTGACCTCAGGTGATCCACTCACCTAGGCCTTCCAAAGTACTGAGATTGCAGGGGCACCACACCTGGCCCCGGGTAATATTTGTATTTTTGTAGAGATAAGGTTTCACCATGTTGGCCAGGCTACTTTCAAACTCCTGACCTCAGGTTATTCCTGCCGTCTTGGCCTCCCAAAGTGCTGGGATTACGGGTGTGAGTCACCATGCCTGGCTGATTTTTTAAAGTGATATTTTCAGTTCTTAGCTGGTCAAATTCAAGGATGCAGAACTGTGGCTTCAGAGAGCCAACTCTGAAGAGCCTTACTGTGGAGTTAAAGGGAGGATAGGATACTCTGTACAGAGGTTTTCAGGATACCTCTGGAGCTGTCCCCACACCATTAATTGTATTTGTGCTTTTGTGTCTTTCTCTGTTTCTCTTTTTAGTCTAGTGGCAATACCAGTGTATGTGAAACATAGTATCAGCTTTAAGGAGAACAGTTCTTGTGGCAGATTTGATATAACAATTGGACCAAAGCAGAATATGGGGAAAACTATTGAAGGAATTACAGTGACAGTTCACATGCCAAAAGTTGTGCTGAACATGAACCTGACACCCACACAAGGCAGCTATACATTTGATCCAGTCACCAAGGTACAGCCACTTCAAATCAAGAGTGAGCAAGTGTTTCTGCAATCTATTTTGTGATTTGGGGGGAGGGGTGGGGGGAAAGGTTTAGCACCTTGTTTAAAACTAAAGTTTGTATCAAAACCTGGAGAGCATACTGTACTGTGCTTCTGCCACTGGCTACAAAGGGAATCCTGCACCAAGTAGATGAACAGAAAAGCGAGTTGTTCTGTCCTTTTTCAGAGTGTGTCTTCACTCATCCATTATTAATCCAGAGCCTCATTCTGCTATCTAATAAGAAAGAAGTAAAAGTTTTTTTTGTTTTGTTTTTTTTTTTTGAGACAAGAGTCTTGCTCTTATTGCCCAGGCTGGAGTGCAATAGCGTGATCTTAGCTCACTGCAACTTCCGCTTCCCACGTTCAAGTGATTCTCCTACCACAAAGCCTCTTGAGTAGCTGGGATTACAGGCAAGCACCACCACGCCCAGCTAATTTTTTTGTATTTTTAGTAGAGACAGGGTTTCACCATGTTGGTCAGCCTGGTCTCGACCTCCTGACTGCCCACCTCGGCCTCCCAAAGTAATGGGATTACATGCGTGAGCCACCTCACCCAGCCAGTAAAAGCTTTTTTAAAAAGAGAAAACATTATGTAGATAAAAGAATTATGGTCTATGAATTATTAAGTTTTCTATGTAAATTGATCATTAAGACCTTTTTCTTTTTAATTTAAAAGCATCACTTCATACTCTTTCTTGGGGCTAGGAAAGATGCTCACCTTACTTACATTTTCCTATAGCAGAGGGTTTTTAGAGAAACTGTAGCAGATTATTTTCTCCCAGCTTCCTGCTTAGGTAGTAAATATGATTGTTTTCAATACCAGAGTCATTGCGGTGCCTGATAAATGAAAAGACACATTTTTTGAATAATGTCATAGAATGTTAAAGATTATTTAATGTGGTTGCAAGGATTCAAAGGACCTCCTCCTGGACACCACACAGGGCTGAGAAGGAAAGTTTCAGTTTCCTGGCCCTTTACCGCAGCTTCAACTATGACAGCTTTGCTTTTTTCTCATTTGCTGTTGAGCCTCCACACTAAAGATTTCATTTGAACAATGGGTTGCACAGCTAAAGTTTTTAAAACACCATCTCAAGTCAATCTAATGATTTTACAGAAAAATTAACAGGCCCAGAGAAAAGTAGTAAAGATGGTATGATGGAGAACATTTGAAATCAGAGGGTCTTAGGTGCAAATCCCAGCCTTTCCTCTGACTAGCTCTGTGGCTTTGAGCAAGTCATTTGATCTCTGACCCTTAATTTCCTCATTTGTAAATAGAAGACAAAAGCTACTTCACAGCCCTCAATGAGACAACATATGAATAGTGCTAAGCACAGTGCTAATACAAAAGAAAATGCTCAACAAATGTGGATTCTCTGCTCTCACTTCCCATTCAAAGTCACAGAGCTAATCAGAAGTAAACTCATTGTAGATCCCAGATACCTTGTTTTCAATAGACTGCACTTCATTTTGTACAGAAGTTTATGGTGTCTTTAAACCTTCTTTTTGAGGGTTTGTCTTTAATAGATAGTTCCATTCGTTCATCATTTTTTTTGTCTTTCCAAGGTACTAACATGGGATGTGGGAAAAATTACTCCACAGAAGCTCCCAAGTCTTAAAGGACTGGTAAATTTACAGTCTGGAGCCCCCAAACCAGAAGAGAATCCGAGCCTCAACATACAGTTTAAGATCCAGCAGCTTGCTATTTCAGGTAAGAGTAAGGCTCACTTGTAGTTAAGGGTAATTGAGTTTTACAAGCTCAATTATTAGGCACTTAAAAGGGTAACAAAATTTCCCACTCTAGAAAGAGCAACAGCCCATTTGCCTTTTGCACTGTGCTTGGGAGACCAGTCTCTCAGGCACCAACCAAATGATTTTGGAGAGCGCCTTGTTTCACACAGCCTCCCCTTACCTCTGCCCTCATTCAAGCACCAAAGAGGGAGTTGTTCATATTTACAGAAAGTAGAGTTATACTTCACAGACATTCCCTGCCTATGTGGTATGCTTAACCAAAACCATCCCATCAAGTGCAATAATTTGTAAATGGTAAAAGAGATGTTTCTTCCAAATGGTAGAAGGGACACTGGTTAATGTCAGATTTACCATGCTCATTGCTAACATTATATTGGTTGGGATCATGATAATTTATTCTTTTTCACTCTTTTTGACACAGGCTTAAAAGTAAACCGTTTGGACATGTATGGGGAGAAATATAAGCCATTTAAAGGAGTCAAATACGTCACGAAAGCTGGAAAGTTCCAAGTGAGAACATAAGAAGAGGCCAAAATTCCTCAAGACCAGTTTGTCTTCCAAGTGTCATTACAATGTATTACTATTAGATACCAAGTGGGTGGGAATACATATTCTAGTTAAAGCATTTGTGACTAGCTACACACCGCTAACAAAGTTGCTTAGTTATCAGTGTAGAATTCTTAAGGAGCTTTAAGCTAAGGAAACCTTTTAGTGACTTAGCTTATTTTGTATCTTTTCACTTAGGAAATTTTTGGAGGTAATTTTTTTTCCATAGGAGGGTACCATCTAAAGGCTGCACATTGTAAGAGTAAAGGCAGAAAGTTATACCTCTCTCCTAAAAGGAGTTAACTGTCTCCTCCAGCAGAAGCTATCTTAATCTGTGATGTGTCAGATGCAGCCAAATACCACACCTTCTGATCTTAGCCATCCCAAACCAGTATCTGTCCCAAGAGAGGAAATTCTCCCCACCCCCAGAAGTTTACAGAAAACTGCCTCTTCAAGTGTTTGCCTTATTCAGCTTTTCACTTGTGCCATTAAGCAAGCACTGTAGCAAAAGCCACTTCCACATGGCCCTGGCAGGGAACACTGCTGCTCCATGCTCCATTTCTCACTGTACTTGGTATTGTATTTTTTATAAATAAGATTTTTATGTAAAGCTTAGAATTTGATTTACAGGGACCTTGCTGCAGTAAATACCATCTCAGTTTTGTGCCACTAGTTCAGCTGCTAGCACAGTAAAAAAATCATTTGTATCAAAGGGGCAAATGCTTTATTAAGGTAGTAAAAGGGAACATTATTTATGCTTTTAGGAAGTTACTGCAAGCACAAGCATTTGTGCTTTTAAGCAAATTAAAGTAGTAAAAGAAAAACTTAAGTGAAACTTTGCCATCTTCATGTTTTATAAACCTTACCCAACACCAGTTAAATCATAGTTAACCTAAATGTCTCATCCCCCGGTTCAGCAAAAGGAGGAAAATCTGCCTGCCTCACTGTCATCAGTCTTTTTAAATCTTTTATTTTTGTTGTTAAGGGGTTGAATTTGCTTATATTCCTTGTCTTTAGGGGAAATTAATATTGTGTGCTTCCCAAAGCTATAGTCAGATTTCTTCCAGAAACTATTGTCATAATTGTCACTGGAGTGCTTAAATGTACCTACTATACTGACAAAATGCATGGAAGTGCGTTATAATGAGGCAGAAACAAAATCCTTGGTAACATTGATGATACTGTATGGATCACCATGGTTTTGGAAAGTCAGTCAACAGTTGTATAATTGCACTCAACTTCATTGTGTCATTTCATTTAAGTTCTTCATCTTGGTAGTCCTTATCCAGTTATTTTGCCTCATTAGACATCAAGAAATGGAGAAAGCCTGAAAGTTAAGCTATAAGTGCTTGTTCTTCATGTTTCCTTATTATTTATGCTATTTTCTCTTCTCTTTGTGGCTCCATTCTTTTCTTCTTTCAGTCTTCTCAGCTTATAACTGTATTTCCCTTACGCTAGGATAGCCCTTACACTCATCCTATCTATGTTGTTGAGGGCTACTGGTTGGTGCTGGTACAAGGAGCCCACTGAGCAGTTTTCTTACCTTTGCCTGCCCATGATACCCACCCTGCCTTTCATGGAATAAGAAAGGCCACGTTTTGCAGCTTCTAAATTTCTAGAGAAACTAATCTCAGATTGGCAATTAAAGTCAAAATGTTGCCAAATATTTATTCCTTTTTCCTAAGTTCAATTGCTTTTTGTTTTTAATGTTGACTCCTCAGAGTTTGTACCTCAAAAGAACAATGAGAACCTTTGCTTTTCCTTCTGCTGAATCCCTAATCTCAACAGTCTATACTTGGACTGTCCAGTTCTCCTCCTGTGCTATCTTCTCTTCTGTCCAACTAGAATGTATGCCAGGAGCTCCTTCCCTCTAGCAATTTCTACTAAAATGTCCAAGTAGAATGTTTCCTTTTGCAATCAAATTGTTGTATTTATTAATTTGCTAGAATCCAGTAAATCATTTTGCTAGCTCTGGTCATATTATCAATAAAAAAGATGAAAGCAACAAGTTGATTTTTTTTTTTTTTTTTTTTTTTGAGGAAGGGAGGGATGAAGGAAGAGAGGAAGGGGGGGGGGGGGGAGGGAGGGAAGGGAAGGAAGGAATTCAAGCAATGAGAGAGACATTGCCGACCTGGATCTAGAGGTTTACAAGTTGATTTCTTTTTTTTTTTTTTTGAGTGAAGGAAAGAAGAAAAAATGAGTAAAGGAGAGGAAGAAAGAGGAAGAGAAAGGGAGAGTGAGTGGAAATATTGCTTTATTCTTAAAAAAAAAATGGGTATTAATAATGGCCAATCAATGTTTCATTTAAACCTATGAGTACCTGTGATGTGGTATTGACTAGAATGTTTATTTTGTGTATTTGAAGTGGAGAGCTCTATAAATATTTATTAAGTTTACTTGTTCCGGATCTGAGTTCGAGTCCTTGATATCCTTATTAATTTTCTGCCTCATTGAGTCTAAGTCTCTATGTATCGGGGTGTTAGGATCGTTAGCTCTTGTTGTTGCATTGATCCTTTTACCACTATATCTTTGTTGCTTTAAAATCTATTTTATCCGATACGAGAATTGCAACTCCTGCTTTTTATTTATTTATTTATTTGTTTGTTTATTTTTGCTCTCCATTTGGTTGGTAAATCTTTCTCCATCCCTTTGAGTCTTTGTGTATCCTTGCCTGTGAAACAGGTCTGGATGTAACATGCCGTTGGGTTTTGGCTGTGTCTTTTGATTGGGGGATTTAGTCGATTTAAATTTAGGGTTACTGCCCTTTGATTTTAACTGGCTGTTTTATCCATTCGTTGATGTAAATTCTTCTTTATGTTGGTGCTCTTTACTTTTTGGTATATTTTTAGAAGGGCTGATACTGGTTGTTTCTTTCTGTGTGTAATGCTTCTTTCAGAAGCTCTTGTAAAGCAGGCCTGGTGGTAATAAAATCTCTGAGTTCTTGCTTGTTCATAAAAGATTTTATTTTTCCTTCAGTTGTGAAGCTTAGTTTGGCTGGATATGAAATTCTGGGCTAAAGGTTCTGTTCTTTGAGGATGTTGAATATTGGCCCCCACTCTCTTCTGGCTTGTAGAGTTTCTGCTGAGAGATCTGCTGTAAGTCTGATTGGCTTGCCTTTATGGGTAACCTGACCTTTCTCTCTGGCTGCCCTTAGTATTTTCTCCTTCGTTTCAACCCTGGTGAATCTAACGATTATGTGCCTTGGTGTTGCTCTTCTTGAGGAATATCTTTGTGGTGTTCTCTGTATTACCTGGGGTTGAATATTGACCTGCTTTGCTAGTTTAGGAAAATTTTCCTGAATAATTTCCTGAAGTGTATTCCCCATCTTGGATTCATTCTCTCCGTCGCATTCAGGTACACCTATCAAACGTAGATTTGGTCTTTTCACATAGTCCCACATTTCTTGGAGACTTTGCTCATTCCTTTTTATCCTTTTTCTCCAATCTTTTCTTTGCGTTTTATTTCATTAAGTTGGACTTTGACCTCTGATATCCCTTCTTCTGCTTGAACAATTCGAGTGTTTAAACCTGTGCAAACTTCTCGGAGTTCCTGTATTGTATTCTTCAGTTCCGTTAATTCACTCATACTCCTCTCTAAGTTGTCTATTCTCAATAGGATTTCATCAAACTTTTTTTCAAAGTTCCTAGTTTCTTTACGTTGGGCTACAACATGTTCTTTTAACTCACCGAAGTTTGTTATTATCCATTCCCTGAAGTGATATTCTAGCATTGGGATGCGCTCATTCTCCATCAAGCCTTGTTCCATTGTTGATGTGGAACTGTGATCATCTTTAGAGGGAGAGGCGTTCTAACTTTGAGTATTCTCAGCTTTTTTATGCTGGTTTCTTCCCATCATTGTACGTTTATCCTCCTGTGGTCTTCGAATTTACCAACTTTCAGACCTTTTCATTAGGTCTCTTGAGGCCCAGGTTGTTAGTTGCCAGGGCCAGAGCAGCGGCGTTAAAACTGATGGTGCTTTTCTGCCCAGGATTCTCTTGTCTGGCTTCTTTCTTGTGTCCATAGTGGGCGACTCTGCCTTCCCGGGGCTCCAAACCTCGGTCAGAAGGGGAGCCAGTCCCGTTTACTCTGCACCTCTGCTCCGAGCAGTGCCAAGGTGCCATCACAGCCGCTGCGCCTGGCTCTGGTGTCGTGCTGGGGGCCCTTGTGGGTCCTCCGAACCTGTTTACTCTGCTCTGAGAGCTGCCGCGCCACTTGGCGCCGGCGGAACCGCTGTGCCGGCCACAAAAGTCGCGCTGGCGACCCGTGTGATTCCTCCACTGGGGATCTTCTGCTCCGTGAGCGACCAGAATTTGTCTGAAAGTGTGGCGTCCTCTAGTTCTCCATGCCTTCACTGAGAGCTGCAGTCCCGAGATGTTAGCAATCAGCCCCTGATTTTTTTTTTTTTTTAGGTCTGCTATTGATTGAACATTCTCCGATGGGCAAGGCTAAGTATCAAAGCAGGGTGAACATGATCAGATTTTCTTCTTCATCATCACACAAGCTGTGAGTGTTGCTGCAAAGCACTTCTCAGTACTCCTCCCCCTAACCTCAGTATGTTAATAGCCATTCATACTTTCCTTAAGCATCACCATTCTGGCCATTCTGAGAGATTAGTGATCAAAGCTCCCTTTCCTATCACTACCACCACCTACTGATAACAAAGATTCATGAATACTTAGTAGTAGTAGAATATTTTTCAAGCACAGAGTTACAGCTAATCCTGGATCCCTTGTTTTAAATTCATAAGGCAGTATATCCCAAGAGCAAATGCAGTAGATGATTATTTTCTGCGTGTGGGAGTCACCATCATTTTATTCAAAGGGAGTTCCTTTGATAGGTTCATTCCTTAAGTGGGGCTACAGAACCCTAGGAAAATGCTGATCTTGTCCTGAGAGGCAACTGATTTGAGAAAATGATTATACTGCAGCATGAAGGCAGCACCAGTGAACATATGGTACATAGCAAAACTGCTAATTCAGTAGTAGCCTTGGATTTTTCCTTTAAATCAAACAGGCTGGAATCTCTATAGTTGGCAACTTTCCAGGGTAAAGCAGTGATGAAAGCAGTTGGCAACACTAAAATATCAGCATCATTACCCTTTAATGATATATTACCCCTTTCAGATTGGGAAAATGAGGCAAAAACAGTGATGTCCCAACTCTACTCCAAAAACCTGCTGTTACTATTTTAGTCAGTATTTCTTTAAGGAAAAGGACTATGTCCCCAAAAGCTAATTCTGCCTTTTAGCCCTGGTGGATCCCTGAAAGCCCTATTTTTATTCCGTGTGTGGCCGGGCGTGGTGGATCACGCCTGTAATCCCAGTACTTTGGGAGGCCAAGGTGGGCGGATCACTTGAGGTCAACAGTTCTGAGACCAGCCTGACCAACACTGTGAAACCCCATCTCTGCTAAAAAACAAATATTAGCCTGGTGTGGTGGTATGTACCTGTAATCCAAGCTACACAGGAGGCTGAGGCAGGAGAATTGCTTGAACCTGAGAGGTAGAGGTTGCAGTGAGCCAAGATTGTGCCACTACACTCTAGCCTGGGTGACAGCAAGACTCCATCTGGTAATTAGGGGAGGACATGAGGTATTCCTGCACACTTAACAACCTTAGCTTTTAAGGGAACTGGTGGGCTCCACAGATAGCTAGTAAGATGAAGACAAACTGTTTCATCCAGCTACTTTCTGCCTACTGTTAACCTCCACCACTTCTATTCCTTCGAGTGTGTAACCCTCAGAGTTGTCATCTTTTATCACACATATCTTCATTAAGTAAATATACTACCATTGATTTCTTCTTCCAGTACAACATTTGGATTAAATAAAAATCTTTAGTTTCCAGATCTTGAGGATTAGTTTCATGGGCTATTCATCAAAACAAAGGAGAAACCTGACCTACAAATTCTTGCTAAAATAACATACCCACCATTTAAAGCATTATTTATACAAATGCATTTTATTGTTTTAAACAGAACAAAAGAAGAGGCAGAAAATATTTGCATATAACAAATTCTAGCTTATAAATGTAGTTTTTTAGCGGCGGTGACGTCTCTAATCATCATTCAGGGATTTTTTTGTTTGTTTCACTGTGTCTTGAGCACTTGATAGTGGAGAAAAGCACATCTGGCATAAAGTATAAACCAGTGTCTCAAACCACTGGAAGAACCAGGAGAGCAAACATGATTTTTCTTATTTCCTCTAAGTAATCTTTAGTAAAACAACAGGTGATCTTTGGCATAGATTCATACTTTAAAGGCATTAATATTGCATTTATATCAGGCAAGCAACTATACAAATATGCTGAGGGCCTTGAAAATAATTATTTTAAAGGAAAAAGAAAAAGCCTGAGTGTACAGGACCAACTTAAGACAAGTTTTACACATTCGATGTTGGGAACTAATATACAGTGATGGGTGGCAAGGAAGGATATTCGGGCAAGGGTTCTTACTCCTTTACTCATCTGGTTCTGGCTTTAGGAAAAAAAGGTTTCATGTGCTGGGAAATACTTAGTAGTGATAAGTACAAAAAAATGAAACATTACCCTCTCATTTTGCCTAGTAGGAACTGACTGTGGTGATAATGAAATATTACACCCATTACTCTCTTGAACCTCTTACTTGGGAGAAGATGCAGAGCTTGGTTGTAGTTGGTTGCAGGGAGGTAGGAATTACTGGAGTATTTCCCATTGATTCATCTTCAGCAGCACCAGAATTCTAGTCTGCAAATATCACTCTCCCTTAGGCAGGAGGTGTCCTTCAGACAGGGTTGCCTTTCCATTAAACACTCTTGGGGGACAAGCACTCATTCTTAGGACTGAATTTTAAAAGGATAAAAAGGATCTTTCAGAGTTACAGATGAACAAACACCTACACGTCTTTAAAATCTTGTTTAGAAACAGTATGGAGGAAGGCTACAAAAGACATGTTTTGGTTAAAATTAAAATGCAGCATTTCAGCTCAGAATGAACAATTAAAAGCTAAGAATGAATGATAAGGCCTCAGCACAGA